GCCCCCACCTGGAAGACCACCGCCCGTTATAGGTCCCGCCTCCGGCCGAGCAGGGCCGTCGCTGTGGCGCCAGGCAGGCGGCACACCGCCCTCCGCCCTCCCACGACCCACAGCCATGGAGTAACGAACGATACGGCCGTCAGTCAGTGGCCGTTTCGCCCCGCCGCCGCGCCCGCCCGGTCCGCCCGCCCGCTCCGGTTCGCCCCAGCTAGCCCGGTCGATGCTGAACGGTCCGGGACCGACCACGGTTGGCGGTCCACTAGTCCGTCGGTCCTTTGGTCCACTGGTCCGTCGGTTCACTAGTCCACTGGTCCGTCGGTTCACTGGTCTACTAGTTCGCTGGTCCACTAGCCCACTGGTCCGTCAGTTCGCTGGTTCGCCGTCGGTCCCATTCAGTCGTGACTGCGCGGCCAGCGGACCGGCACGCGACTACGGAGGGGGAGGGGAGGGAGGAGACAGACAGGAGAGAGAAGGGTAAAGGAGTGGGAAGGGGAGGAGTTATCGCGTGTCTAGCAAGCCGACCGACGGGAATTGACTCGCAGTGGGTGGGAATAGCGATAAGACGGCACGCCCGGCTCAAAAGGGCGTTACAGCAGAACCCGAGGGCAGTTAAGCCTTCGACCTAAAGAAGCTCTTCATAACAACCAGCTCAAGATCAAGTCTTGTTGATTACCGGCAGCTGAATTGGATCACCTGAATCTGAAGAATAAAAGCTGACTTCACTTGTCTGTTTCTATCACCATAAGCCATTCGATTTGTAGCAGCATTGATTTGGTCTGTAGACCGGTCACAGGCTGACCTAAATCTCCGGCAGATGAAAAGGTTCTCCAGTGGGGCGCGGGCCGCCATTATACATCAGCGAACAATGGGAGTGGTGGGCGGCCCGGGCGGCCCTGCCCACCCTCAGAACAGCCGGGCCCAGTGGCAGCTGGGAGCAGAGCCACGGTCACCCAGTCCCCCCGGTACCGATAGACCAGTGCAGACAGCTGATCTTATATGTGACTTACAGAGTTACAACCGACTGGCAAAAGTCAGCGTGGCGCCATGAAAGTCTACCGATTAGGACTGGGAAGCGAGAGCTGTTATCTATTTTCCTGTATACCACTGAACCTGGCGTGGCACCAGCTCGGGAAATAGATAAGAAGTTTTCACACTCACTGAACGTAAAGGAAAAAAAGGTGACGCGATAAGTGCTCCTTCCTAATCACACAAGATCGCGTTACCCGCAGCCGGATACATCAGCGAAAAGGGTAAATATAACCGGTTCTAAAAATACAGGCAACAAACTGCATCATTGCACAGACTAGGCCATCGCTGCTGAATATAAATGGCTAGCAACATCACTTCAATACAGAAGAGCCTCCACGGCTCAGTCAAATGAAGTACAGAAATAACTTCAAATGCTTCAAAAAGCCCATCACGTCTTCCGCCGCCAACTCATACCCATTTACTGTCGCCCTCTGCTCACAAACAGCGCACATGTGTCTCTGGTGGGCAGTCATACTTCCGTCAGCCACGGGTCACATTCTCGCCAGCCCGTCACCCGCCCGGTACAGTCCGTCAGTCGCCCGGTACGGCCCGTCAGTCGGCCTGTACGGCCCGTCAGCCCGCCCGGTACGGCCCGTCACCCGTCCGGTACGGCGCGTCAGCCGTCCGGTACGGCCCGCCACCCGCCCGGTACGGCCCGTCAGCCGTCCGGTACGGCCCGCCACCCGCCCGGTACGGCCCGTCAGCCGCCTGGTACGGCCCGCCACCCGCCCGGTACGGCCCGCCACCCGCCCGGCCCGGGTCGCGGCGCTCGCCAGCTAACCGGCCTGTGTTTACGCGTGTGCGCCGGTTAATTTGTCGGCTCTGTCGGCGAGCGGCCGCCTGCCAACGTAGACAGCCGAGCGGCGCGTCTGATGAGATGGATGGCATGCAGGCCTGTCCAAGGCCTGGATTCTGACCAGCCAAACGCGGGACCCCGTCCTGCAGGTCAGTGCAACTCAGGCCCGACCCGGTCTAGCAAGTGCCCAAAAAGGTTCGACCCAAGTGCCATCTCAGTCCAATTGACTTCCAGTAAAAAACCTATAGCTCACAACTCAGCCCAGTCGAAACCACAGGTCAGCGAAGCACTATCCACCCATCCACAGTTACGGCCACAGCCACAGCCACAGCCACAGCAATAGCCACAGCCACGCCCGCAGCCACGGGCCCACAACCACGCCGCAGTCCATCTCGCTCAAACACAGGTATGTCAACACCAACGCGTAGCTGCAGCTGTTCCTGTCAGTCACTGTGCCAGGTAGAGATATCAGGTGCAAATGAATTGGCAACGGCTTCCACGCCTCACCAACCAGCTATGTTTAGATGATTAATGAAGTAATGACTAAAAGTACAATATTGTTTGAAGACGACCCAAAGAAATGCATACCAAATGTAAGACAGCGTTAAGGTAGACGTAAATAGCTATAGAGCCGAGCTGGCACGATTTAGAACGCTCCAGTCGAACGCGACGTTTAATGACTTCAGCACGATTTAGTGCAGTGAGCATTCCGTTCGTCTCGGGTGCGATCAACGTCTGCTGGAGACGCTAATAAGACCGCAGTGATTGGTTGAGTGCTGCTGCTCGAACCTCATCTGTCCGTGTTTTACTTGACAAATAATGGGTGTAGTAAAGAGTGTAGACAAAGCGTTAGGGGTTTACTAGCACGCTGGTATGAGGGTCAATGGGTGGTGGTGTCTCCCTTACAAGGTCAGGCAGTCTGAGGGCCTAAGTGGCGTGGACGACCACTGGAGAAGCCGGTCCAAACGCCCCACTGAGGCAGGTCAGATCAATCTGGCTTCACCGCCGTCCGCTCGGCGATTTGTTCGACCTTCTCTCGGCACCACCAGAGTTGGCAGAAGAGGCAAAAATTACTCCGACCGACTTCAGCGCGGCCGGCCGCCGACCAATTAAACTGCCTCAGTTAGGTCCGAAAAGGTCAGCACCCGACGGGGGAAAAGTCAGCACCCAACTAATCACGCCGCTTCATTATCGCAGCGGCCGGTACCCCGCGAACGATGGGCCTGGTCGAGGAGGCAAGTGGCAACAGCGGCCAGCACGGCAGAGGGCCGGGGACAGCCCGCGCCCCTGCTGGGAGCGCCGCTCAGGTGGAAACCGCGTCACTGACAGGTGGGACTGATTGATGGGCGAGTTTGACGGGCCGACACCACCACGGCGGCGGATTGGTGGCCGTCAGATCGCCACCCGGAGACTGCCAAATTCGGCAGCTGGCTCCGGATGGGACCACATCCGGGCTCCAGCCAAAGCCAAACGACAGGCGCCAGGGAAAACACATGCGTCCACGGAGACCGCAGTCCACCCCACCGACCGTCACAGTGATACCACGTGAGAGAAGGAAATCAAATATTACGGAAAAACTTACGGAAGGTAGTGTGCAAATGGAAGAGAGGAGACACGGACCCAAGCCAAACAAATAAGCAGAATAACCACCTTCACGTGACTACAGACCACTGCACAGGGTAAGTGTGGGAACTGTGAACGGTTCTTGCCACAGAACAAACTAGAAGCATCCGCGAACAGATAGTTATGCACGACATAGGCCCCACTTGCAGGCGGGGGCCAGCTCACAGGCACCCTCATCCCGATACACGGACGTCTGTCGTCCAGTCGTCTCTCAGTCAGTGTCACACGTCTCCCTTTTCCATCCCCCTCAGTCACTCAGCCCCCCCCCCCCCCCACCCACACACACACATACCATTAGAGGTGGAAATGACTAACGTTTTCCAAAATCTTGACTAATGACTGACTAATGACTAATGACAATTTTGGTTGACTGACTTTTGACTGACTAAATTTTCGTCTCAAAAAGCTTGACTGACTATTGAATGACTATTTTTTTATAACGCTACTTTTCTTGATTTTGACTAATATTTGACTAAATTTCGGAATTTGCTAGCACTGCGTAAATAAAAATCTGCTGATACGCTAAGAAATATAAACGATGACCAACACCATGTTTTTATTTTAGTGTTTGTTCCATTCAGCATTTCAGAGCATGTGACCTGTGATGTTTGACCACAATGAGCGCAATCAGCAATGAACAAAGCAGTGCAATCAGCAGCTGGGGATGTTGCCCACTGGCGGATCCAGGGGGGACATTTAGGACCATTGCCCCCCCCCCCAAGCCCGTTTGCCCCCCCCCCCAAAAAAGACCCGAGTTTTAATATTACGCCTATGGCGGTGGCGGCGCATGGAAAGAAAGGGGTCATTTCGGCCATTTGCCCCCCCCCCAAAAAAAAAACGTCGGGCTGGATCCGCCAATGATGTTGGCCATGGTGGGCACTGGGCCAACGACATTCTATGCCTGGCTGAAACGATTACTGTTAAAAGTACAGCCTGTGGCCGTTTACAAGTTACGCATCAAAGCGCTTCTAGACGTCCGATCGACACCGGAAAAAAACACCAATCGATCCCAAATTTTATCCCTAATCATTTTATGGCCAACGCAATGCGAAGCGGGCGCAAGATATGTCGGCCGTTACGACGCCTGGTTCGGGAGATAACAGGGGGAGGGGTAAAATTTACCCCCCCCCCCCCCAGTCGGGCGCGTTCGGGGGCGACCCCAGTGGAGCGCGGGCTAAGTCACCTCACGAATTACGACAAATTAGTCGACTAATATGCAACAAAATCATTGACTAATGACTGACTAATGACTAACAAATATTTTGGTTGACTGACTTTTGACTGACTAAAAAAGCGCTTGACTAACGTTAGTCGACTAATTTTTGACTAATGACTAACATTCATTTCCACCTCTACATACCATACCGTTCACCCCTCCCCTCCCCACTGGTACTGACCTACCGCCAGTGTGGGTCAGTTACCTCTGTGACCCTTCTCTCAGTTCCCTTCCTTTCCTTTCTTCTCCCTTCTCCCTTCTCCCCTCTCTCCCTCTCCCCTTCCCTCTCCCTCTCCCTCTCCCTCTCCCTCTTTCCCCCCTCTCCCCGTGACTGACCTGCTGCCAGCGCTGATCCGGAAACTCGGTGACGCAGAGGACGCTCACCACCACGTGCACCAAGGGAAGGAGCACACCGGCCGCGCACGTCACCCACACACGGATCGGCAGCATCGCGTACAGCACAAACACCGTGAACGCCACGTGCCACACACCGTCAGCCAGCGTCCACCGGCCGGCCGATGGCACGCCGAAGCTGACCGGTAGGGAGACCACGCAGAAGAGCGCGCTGCTCGCCAGAAGCACGTAGCACAGGCCGAGCAGGTGCGGGTCACGCATCCAGCGCGTGCTGCTATATACGAGGAGACCGACAAACAGCGCCGCCATGAGTAGGTAGTAGACGAGTGGGGCTGACGCGGGAGCGCCGTGACCCAGCGCTAGCACCCCCAGCAGAGTGCACAGGAGGATGTAGAGCACCAGAGCGCCGCCGATTGAAGAGCGCTGAAGCTTGACGATGTAGCGCTGGTAGAGAGCCTCCAGCTCGTCGTTCTCGAAGCGGTGCCGGTTGAGAAGCCGTGCGAACGCTGCCTTACGGTGGGAGCTCATCGCCTTCACACTGTGGTCCATGGTGGCGGTGGCAGGGGCGGTGGGCGGTGGCGGAGGCGGCGGAGGCTGGGTCGGTGGCGGTGGTGGCCGCCGCCCCGGTTATAACATGTCTGCCGGACAGAGAAACATGCCGTTAGTACAATGTCAATACAGAATCAAGAGCTACATGTGCAGCTGTGATTAACTAGCGAATAAAAGACGCTGAGACCGCTTAAATCACTGCTCTTGCACGCTGCAACAATTCAAATGTGACGTGCAGGCATTACGCGATGATGTTCGCCATTCCGATGTTGAAATTAATAGACCATCAAAGAGAGACCTTCCACATAGCCACATAGCCATCCCCATCCACAAACGCAAGCTTCCACCGAGCCTTTGTCGCGATGGGCTTCGATCCTGGACACTATTCGGACCAGAGAACTGTGATAAAAATGTCATTAACCCGCGAGTTGCTGGGGGGGGGGGCGTTAAACGCCCCCACTTTTTTCGCCGGGCCATAGCATAAAAACGGCGCGCCGCAGGCGCGCCAAATCTTGGATACCTGTAGGGAATTGATTGAAGTGTATTGTGACAAAGTTTCAAAAAAATCGGTCGGGGAATTTTTAAGATATCGAAGTTTTAGTGACGTCATGATTTCTGAGTTTTCGGCCAAAAACGGCATATGTTCAAAAAATCATATAAAATCACAGAATAGACATACAGACATGCCGTAAACGTCATTAGACTGCCAATACCATGAACAATCAAATGGCTATCTTCGATTATTGATTATCGTTCCGCATTTTCCATAATCTTGAACTGAATCTTGGCAACTTCTCGTGACTACTTCACGACCATGATACATGCATTTCTTAAATTGAACTTTTTTAGCCAAACACGCACACATATGATAAAATGAATGTCACCATCGTGTTCTACGCTCCAAATTACCCATAAAACATGTGTCACAGGCTGTGAATATCAGTTTTGATTTTCGGGGATATGTGCCTACCCGGTTGACCTGACCTTGACCCTGACCTATGCTTTACTGACCCCTACATGGAGCTGACACTCTTGTAGGCCTTATATGATGGATTGTGCACCGTTTTGACAGAGTTTATGACGAGAGGCGCCCATTGCAAAGTCCTGAAGTCCATGCTACTGAAAGCCCGATTTCAGGTGTTTGACCTGACCTTGACCCGACCTGTGACCTCAAAATTCAGCGTTAAAGTACTCATCTGAAGCGTCTCGTCGCGTTCTTTCGTTTGCCGTCTCGTGCGTTTCGCTGCGCCTATTGGTTCTCGAGTTATCGGCTGGGGGCGTTTAACGCCCCCCCCCCCCCCCCCCCCAGCAAACGGTGGGTGGCGAAATACCCCAGCAATTGCCGGGTTAACATCAAAAGCTGCAACTGCGTACCTTTGCCACGGTTACCGAGTACCTATCACTATCAGTAGCAGCGAGTAACCAAACAGTGGTAAATTCATTTAAAAACAACGAATCTATTACAAACAAAAACCCATGGTGGAAAACCTATTACCGATATATGAGCCGGAGTCCGCCCACGACTTAAAGAGAAGCATAAGTAAACAGAAAATAGACATATCTAAAAATAGAGGTTTATTACACATAACGTGAAACCGCATAGATGAATGCCAATTTCGCAGCTTTGCTGAGTCTCTGACTGTGGCTGCGGACCTGTGGCTTCGCTATCTGTGGATAAGAACGTGGTTTGTTGCAGTGGCTGTGGCTCAGCTGTGTTTGTATTTGGTGCACTGGCTATGGCTGGACTGTGACTGTAGTTGCGAGCTTGCACCGAGCTAACACTTGACTGAGCATGGCAGTGTGGAGGTAGGATTGGCAATGAGCTGTGAGATATCAAAACTAGAACGGGTTCATTTCATTAGTTTTGCCAACTGGTCTTGTTAGCACGTCATAAATCTATATAACCACGATATCGAGTGAACTTTAAAGGAAAGCCAATCAAATATCCAACAGTCCCTTACTTCACAAGTTCATCATAGTCATCAAGAACTCAATGTTTTCAACGACAGTGGCACATCTAAATAATCGTGGACATTGAAATGTCGGGAGACGTCTCTGGACGCCCGTAGTTAGGAAAATCGCGACTCGCTTGCAGCTCATGATGGCCATGAACAGCCCATTAGGCCCGACAAACGAGCGAGTGGACTCGGGCGGGCCGAGGCGATGGGACGTAACTCCTGACAAAGTGTTCACTGCTCAGTGTTCGGACTCGTCCGCGCTGCTGCCTGGAGGCAGGCGGCGATGGTGAAGTCTTTCTACGAATCTGAGACGGTATGGATCACTACGAGTTGGTAACACCAGCTTACTACAACTGTAGATCCGTGTGCAGATGGATAAGAAACTCTAGAAAATGCGTAACAGGTGTCCCTCGCTCGTGTTTGATCCTGCCAAGAACAAACAACTGCACGAATAAAGCACACATGTTGCTTCCGAGAATGAAGATGTCTGTATCTAAATCGGTGTCATAAATTTCATTGAAATTCACAGCGGCCGTGAAGCCACTTGGTGCTACCTGGGTGACATGCTATACCGATGAAAGGCGCTACCGAAACTGCACTGTTGCTGCTGCTACGGACGCCTCGCCCTCTTGCCTCATCGGGAAGCACTAGGAAACGTAGGGAACGTCGGACGAACGCAAGTGGCACAAGCGGAAATACCTTTATTTCGCCTCCAACAGGCAGCCTCAGCAAATATCAAATTTGACTTCGTGTCACCATTTACTTGAACTTATGTACTAAGTGCATATGCCAACTTACTTAGTGTATGTACTTTTACCGCCAGGCTGATGACCATCCTTCAGTTATAACGTCCCATGCCAATGGCCCTGAATTCTAGGTTTGAGCCCGGACAAGACCCTAAATTATCGAAATACCGTACAAAATGAGATACGCTGTCAGCGCGAGACATGCGCAGGATCCGTTCTATGACCTCGAATGGGAGACGGCTCCAGTCGGTACGGCTCTGGGTCAAGGCTGCGATCAGTCATTACCTGTCGCCATCAGCGGGTCATTAATTATCGTCCCGCGGGCCCGCCCGCCCCGCCCCACGGGCTGGTGGACCGCGCAGGTGGCGGTGAAGAGACAGTTCCGATGGCACGGTCAGGATGGTCGGCAGACAAGTACAGGAATGGTGGGCAGCCTGAAGGAGGTTTGAGAGATGCAGGTGCATATCTAGTTTATCTAAATTATTTAGTTTATTTGAATTATTGAAAGATGGGTATTTCGGAGGAGCCATACTCATAGAACGAAGCAATACCTCTCAAGTAATTAAATGCCGTATTTGAATTTTAAGCGTACCTACTTGAAGGAAAAAATGTTGCGGAGAGAATCATGACAACAGAGCTTTTCTTTTCAAAAGGGCTCACTTTTCAGTATCTAAAACGCATTGCATTTCATAAATCAGGACCTGTTTGCCAATATTTCCACCATGGAAAATCATATCTTCAAAACAAGCATGCAAAAAATACGTGTTTCCACAAGAAGTCAGTGCTTATTGCAATTCTGAAATGGCATGTTCAATGTTCATTTCCGAATAACACGATGAAGCATGTTGTTTGCCATCTCATATGTACGATCAGGTAGCACGGCAGCCAGTAGCCATGTTCGAACACGCTAACCTCATCGGGTAAGCCCGTCCTCACTGGGAGCAGGACGGCCGCGAATGGAGCAGTGCTGTTTCACCTCGCTCACGTAAGGAGAGACATCATCATTCCGCTACTATGTAGTTTCAGTCCTTAGCCTCAACTACGGTGACTTTACTACGCTAACAGTATGGCCAAAGCACTCCCAGCTAACTCGCGATTACCCACCTTATCAAATCAACTAAAACGTCGTAAATCTGCTTTATACGAAAAAAGCGCGTCTTTTCCGCAGGTCATACCGTGCGGTCACCACCCTCCGCTGCAGCGAGAGCCGGCCTGGACCACTGAGGACCCCATCCCCGCCGGGTACTGCGGTATGTGACGAGTTTGGACCGGCGATGACGCCAGACATGACCTCACCGCGCCACCGGCGGCGGATCCGTCAAACGACACCCCGCACATGTGGCGCGGACGGTAGCATCGCAGCCGAGCGGCAAGACAGGCGAGCGTCAAGACAGCCGAACGGTAAAGCAGGCGAGCGGTAAGCCAGGCAAGTGGCAAGACAGGCGAGGGGCAAAATACCTAAACGGCGGAGTAAATGGCGTTAGGTGAGGACGGGGATAGGCCAGGCGGGCACTCAAGGAGCTGAGAGAACATTTCGGTATCAGGAAAAGGCAGGGCAGTGGTGTAAAACAAGGCAGCACAAGAAAAGGCCTGGGCCGAACATCGAAGGGAGCACCGCGACAAGCTTCGACAGGAGAAGGTATCAGTGCAGCGGGCAGCGAGGCAGAAGGAAAGCGAACTAGTGCACGAGCAAAACAGCAGCAGGGCAGGCTTGGTAGAGATGTGGCGAGCATGAGTGCCAGATGCCGTGCAGGTTCACAGTTCGCGGAAACTCCCTCTGTTTGGTGTCTCGCGGGCACTTGTGTTCAGCCAGCCGGTCACAGCGGGAGGCGACGCGGCACTCAAAGCACGCCTCCGCGGGAACTGCTACCCCGCGGTGTCATAGGCCGTGCAAACATGCAAACACACTTCGGTGCACACACAGCAAAGCCGAGCAAAAGTGGTTTGTCGTTTAAAATATTCCGGACATGGGAGTGCGGTTAATGTCTGCAATGCAAAATCCTTCACCGTTAAAGCGGTTTGATGTTTCAGTAGGAAGTATACAAGATGCTTCAGCCGAGGGGCCGCAAATTATCAACAAAACTAAATAAAACGGCATCGACAACAGAACTTATCTGTTCCGATGGTAATGTATCATTCAATCAGAATTCGTTTCAGTACAGTTCAACGGGTATATTGTCATTGGCTATCAGCCTAAGTTCCAGAATGCGCCGCCTAAGAGTTGTACACTGTACAGTACCGATTTCCAAACATCCGGGAGGTTGGATGGTAACACGACTCCCTCATCAGTTTATGTTCTTACTTCGTGCTTCCGTTCACTTACACTAAAAAGGCAAAGCTGAGTGTGTGGCGCTGCCTTTTATGACTGGGCGGAACAAAGGAGAC